TGAAATCACATTATGTTTGGCAGGATTTCGGCACGCGCGCGCGGCGGCCGCGCGCATGTGCACTTCGTGTCATTTTTTGCAAGGGATGGTGGCCCTCGTAGGCTCGCAACCGTTGTTGCAGAAGGTCGAAGCACCTGAAAAGGTTCCTCGCAAAGGCCCTTTTAAAAGAAATGTTTAAAATCTGGTGGGTTTCCTAGGAATCCGCAAGAGCGCGCGGAAGGACATTTTGACAATTTTTTCTGAGAAAACCATTGGGTTTTTGATGTTTTTATGTTAAAATCGCTACGAAACCTAAGGTTTTGGAAGGATTTCGTCTTGCGCGCACGAATGTCACTTTACCTTATTTTTTGCAAGGGATTCTTGCAATTTGATCAAGTAAGAACAAGAATTTTCATTTTCTATTGTTTTTTGCAAGGGAAAACGAGCGTCAACAAAAAACCGGATCCGGAGCTCATCCACTTTTCTGAAGCTTTCGCGGAAAAATGATGAAAATGTAGCTGCGGCCTAGGCGCGGCGCAGAGGTCGCGCACCAGGGGTCCCAACAATAATAATTCTTTAGAAGGAAATAATGTTCAACAACAACCACAACAACAACAACACCAACAACAACAACAACCACCACAACAACAATTACTAGCACGTGGGACACTCCGTTCTCACCAGTGCCAGGGTTTTCATACGACGCCCGCCAATACCCCCACTTTGTGGGGGGGCCGGTTCAAGCTCTACCACATTTCAAAACGACTCTTCGCCACCACCCACACCCAGCTTCCCGCCCTATGACGTTCGGACACTTCACTTCGTGGCCTGCGGACGACCTTGGCTACTACACTGGCGCATGGGTACAGTGACTTGTTGTGGCAACATGCCGACGACGACGACGCGACGACGCGCGCATGTGTCCCGCATGGTATTTTTTGCAAGGGATTGTGGCCCCTGGCAGGCGCGCGAACGCCGTTGAAAGAGCTTGCGAAAGTAGCTCGCGCGAGCTCATGTAACATAAATGTTGAAAATCCATTGGTTTTTTAGGATTCGGACAGCGCGCGCGGGTAGAAATTTTGAAAATTCGTACAGATGTTTTTCGAGGACCTACGGTGCGATTCGTATGATTTTATGTTGCGCGGTGCTAAAATTCCTAAGAAACCCAATGGTTTTTGCAGATTTCGGCGTGCGCGCGCGAAGAAAAAACGAATGTGTCCCGCATGGTATTATTTGACAGGGATGATGGCCCTGGCAGGTGCGCAACCGTTGTCGCAGAAGTTCGAAAAAGTTGCTCGCAAAAGCCCGTTTGACAGAAATGTTTAAAAGTGTTGGGTTTCCTACGAATCCGCAAGAGCGCGCGGGATGAGATTTTGACAATTTTTTGTTGAAAAACCATTGGTTTTTTGATGTTTGTATGTTAAAATCGCTGCGAACACTAAGGTTTTGGAAGGATTTCGTCTTGCGCGCGCGCGAATGTCCACTTTACCTTATTTTTTGCAAGGGATTCTTGAAGTTTGGATATGTTAGAACAAGAAATGTCCACTTTAGCTTTTTTTTTTTTGCAAGGGAAAACCGATCGTAACAACACAACGGGATCCGGACCAACCCGTTTTGTAGTGCCGGAGCGACTTCCTCAAGCGAAAATGATTAAAACATGGCTGCGGCCTAGGCGCGGCGAGGGGGCCGTGTGCACCAGGTGTTCCCAACTATTATTCCTTTAGAATAATTAATGTTCAACGCCTGAGCTTTGAGATTCATTTCAGAGGAAATGCGGCCGGCGCCTCGGCTAGAGCGCCAGGGCGAATATAGGGGGTCCAACAATAATAATTGTTTAGTAATTAAGGTTCAACAACAACAACAACAACAACAACAACAACAACAACAACAACAACAACAACAACAACAACAACAACAACAATTACTAGCACGTGGGGACACACCGTTCTCACCAGTGCCAGGGTTTTCATAGGAGGCGGGCAATGCCCCCACTTTGTGGGGGGCCGGTTCAAGCTCTACCAAATTTCCAAACGACTCTTCGCCACCACCCACACCCAGCTTCCCGCCCTATGACGTTCGGACACTTCACTTCGTGGCATGCGGACGACCGTGGCTACTATTCAGGGCCCCGCGGCCGACGACGACGGCGTGCGCGCGCGAAGAAAAACGAATGTGTCCCGCATGGTATTATTTGACAGGGATGATGGCCCTGCAGGTGCGCAACCGTTGTCGCAGAAGTTCGAAAAAGTTGCTCGCAAAAGCCCGTTTGACAGAAATGTTTAAAAAGTGTTGGGTTTCCTACGAATCCGCAAGAGCGCGCGGGATGAAATTTTGACATTTTTTTTGAAAAACCATTGGTTTTTTTGATGTTTTTATGTTAAAATCGCTACGAAAACTAAGGTTTTGAAAGGATTTCGTCTTGCGCGCGCGAATGTCCACTTTACCTTAATTTTTTGCAAGGGATTCTTGAAGTTTGGTTATGTTAGAACAAGAAATGTCCACTTTAGCTTATTTGTTGCAAGGGAAAACCGATCGTAACAACACAACCGGATCCGGACCAACCCGTTTTGCCTGAGACTTCCTCGCGAAAATGATGAAAATGAGGCTGCGGCCTAGGCGCGGCGGGGGGGTCGTGCACCAGGGGTCCCAACAATAATTATTCTTTAGAAGTAATAATGTTCAACAACAACAACAACAACAACAACAACAACAACAACAACAACCACAACAACACTTACTAGCACGTGGGGACACTCCGTTCTCACCAGTGCCAGGGTTTTCATAGGAGGCGGGCAATACCCCCACTTTGTGGGGGGGCCGGTTCAAGCTCTACAAATTTTCCAAACGACTCTTCGCCACCACCCACACCCAGCTTCCCGCCCTATGACGTTCGGACACTTCACTTCGTGGCATGCGGACGACCGTGGCTACTATTCAGGGCCCCGCGGCCGACGACGACGGCGTGCGCGCGCGAAGAAAAACCGAATGTGTCCCGCATGGTATTATTTGACAGGGATGATGGCCCTGGCAGGTGCGCAACCGTTGTCGCAGAAGTTCGAAAAAGTTGCTCGCAAAAGCCCGTTTGACATAAATGTTTAAAAAGTGTTGGGTTTCCTACGAATCCGCAAGAGCGCGCGGGATGAGATTTTGACAATTTGTTGTTGAAAAACCATTGGTTTTTTGATGTTTTTATGTTAAAATCGCTGCGAACACTAAGGTTTTGGAAAGATTTCGTCTTGCGCGCGCGAATGTCCACTTTACCTTATTTTTTGCAAGGGATTCTTGAAGTTTGGTTATTTTAGAACAAGAAATTTCATTGTATAGTGTTTTTTGCAAGGGAAAACGGATTACAACAAAACAACCGGATCTTGATGACATCGTATTACCTGAGGCTTCCTCACGAAAATGATGAAAATGTAGCTGCGGCCTAGGCGGCGTAGGGGGGGCGTGCACCAGGGGGCCCAACAATAATTATTCTTTAGAAATTAATATTCATCAACAACAACACAACAACACAACAACAACAACAACCAACAACCGCTATCACTTTACCCAAACGCTCGAGGTGTTCTCACCATGCCAGGGTTTTCAATTGGCGACCCAGCCACTCCCCCCCACTTTTCGTGGGGGGGCAGTGCAACGCTCTACCTAAATATCCACACGACTCTTCGCGCGCGCCACCCACGACCCAGCTTTCCCTCTGTTTTCCCGCCCTATGACGTGTTCGGACAAACTTCACTTCGTGGTGCCTGCGGACGAACCGTGCTACTGGCGGGGGGGAAGTCGCGACACTGGCGTGGAGTACACACCCACAGAAGGTGTTAAGCCTACGTTCGTACACCCACAGAAGTTGTTAAGCCTTGTTAACCCACAGAAGTTGTTAAGCCTTCCACAGAACATCTGTTGCATATGATGCATATGGTACATGATACACATGATACACACGATACGTACTCACAAGATAGTTGATCACATCTTTGGGGCAAATTCCTGAGGGATGTGGGAATACACAAGAGAGAGAGGATATGGTTGTCCCGATGGTTGTCTCGATGGTTGTCCCGATGGTTGTCCTGATGGTTGTGGTTGTCCCGATCGTTGTCCCGATGATTGTCCGATCGTTGTCCGATGTGGTTTGTGTTTTGTCCAGATCGGTTGTCCCGATGAAATGTCCCGATGCTTGTCCCGAGGTTTTTCCCGATGGGTTGTTTTCCGATGGTTGTCTCGATGGGTTGTTCCCGATTGTGCTTGAAAATTTTGAAAAGGAAGTCGTTTCAGGTTTGTTTTTTCGAGACCTAACGTGCGATTCGTGTGATTTTATGATGCGCGGTGCTAAAATTCTTAAGAAGCCCAATGGTTTTTGGAGATTTCGGCGTGCGCGCGCGAAGAAAAAACGAATGTGTCCCGCATGGAATTATTTGACAGGGATGATGGCCCTGGCAGGTGCGCAACCGTTGTCGCAGAAGTTCGAACAAGTTGCTCGCAAAAGCCCGTTTGACAGAAATGTTTAAAAAGTGTTGGGTTTCCTACGAATCCGCAAGAGCGCGCGGGATGAGATTTTGACAATTTGTTGTTGAAAAACCATTGGTTTTTTGATGTTTTAATGTTAAAATCGTTCCGAACACTAAGCTTTTGGAAGGATTTCGTCTTGCGCGCGCGAATGTCCACTTTACCTTTTTTTTTGCAAGGGATTCTTGAAATTTGATTGTATTAGAACAAGAAATGTCATTTTATAGTGTTTTTTTTTGCAAGGGAAAACGGATTACAACAAAACAACCGGATCTTGATGACATCGTATTACCTGAGGCTTCCTCACGAAAATGATGAAAATGTAGCTGCGGCCTAGGCGGCGCAGGGGGGGCGTGCACCAGGGGGCCCAACAATAATTATTCTTTGGAATAAATAATGTTCAACAACAACAACAACAGCAACACCACCACCACCAACACCACCACCAACACCACCACCAACCACCACCAACAACAACACCACCAACACCGGTCCCCAGAGAGCGCGCACGCCGCCTGGCGCGCGGCCTGCGACGGCCACGCGAGCAGGCACAGCACCGCGGCGGCCAGCGCCCTGCTGCGGCCCCTCCCCCTCGGCCACCCCTCTTGGTAGGCGCCCCTGCCTCGGCCCACTCTCTCCTCCCCTGCCCTGCCGCCTGCCCCGCTCCACCCCTGCCCTTCCCCGCCCTGCTTCTCACCCCCCCGCCCCCGTCGCTCCGCTCTGGGCCCTCCCTCCGGGCCTCCCCCTCGTCCCGCCATGTTCTCTCGCCTCGCCCCGCCCTCCCTTGGACGAGCTGGGTCGCACGTGGAGGGAGGGCCCCCCGCTCACGCGAATACGTTTCGAATCGCACACGTGTTGGCTGGCTCGAGGCGAACAAGCGGTGTTTCGTTTGTTTCGTCCTTGTTCTCTCCTCTCTTCTGGCCCGGCGGGAGGGGGAGAAAGGATCTGTGCTGCTCTACCAGGGAGGAACAGCAACGGATTTCGCGCCTGGCACTCTCGCGGCGGGACCGAGCCATTCCGACTTGCCCTCGCCCTGAGAACACGGGAGTGGATGACTTGTGCAAGCCACAAACCGTCGGGTGGGCGTCAGCGTTTCGCGTGCGTCCTCTGTGGTCACCCGTGCAAGCGGGAGGAGGTCAGCGCTTGCTGCAGCCGCCGCCGCCCTGCTCTTCCTCTCCCAAGCGCTCCTCATCCTGCCCCCCATGCCTCTCCCTCGCTTGCCAGGCCTGCTCCCCATCACCCGTACGACAACTGGATCGTCCTGCATGCTCCTCCCGCCCCCCAGACCCACTCTTTGGGGAGACCAAAAGGCACCGATACCGCTACTCCCTGGACCTCTCTCGGGGTGCGTTCTGGCCAGGATTTGGATGCGAATCCAGCGGTGGCGACGAGGGCCGCCCAGGAGGCTCCAAAAAGAAGGAAAAACGAGGGACGGGCATGGGCAACTTTCCCTCCCCTGACTCCCACCCGCCCGCCTGTCTCCTCCTCCTCCTCCTCCTCCTCCTCCTCCTCCTCCTCCTCCTCCTCCTCCACCTCCTCCCCCTCCTCCTCCTCCCCCTCCTCCCCTCCTCCCCCTCATCCTCCTCACCTACTCATCCTCCTCCTCCCCCTCCTACCCCCATCCTCCCTCCTCTCCTCCTCCACCCCTCCTCCTCCTCCTCCTCCTCCTCCTCCTGCTCCTCCTCCACCTCCTCCTCCTCCTACTCCCTTCACCTCCCCCCCTCCATCCTCCTCCTCCTCATCCCCTCCTCCTCCTCCTCCTCCTCCTCCTCCTCCTCCTCCTCCTCCTCCTCCTCCTCCTCCTCCTCCTCCTCCCCCTCCGGCAGGAGCTCCCCCTGCAGCCCACACCAGCTGCCCCACGGTCGCCTGGCAGCTGCCCTCGGTGCGCGGGGCGCCATGGCGTGCCGCAGGCAGCAAGGCGGCGCGCCCAGGCTCGGAGGGCACGGAGGGGGGGCGGGCCTCCTCTTCGGGCCCGGGAGGCCCCCATGGGGGCCTCCCGGGCAGCTTCCCGGGCCCGCCTCTGAAGCCGCGCGGAGGGCGTCGCTGACGGCCAAAGGGGTCCCGAGAAGCCCCGCAGGCCTCCTGCGGGGGCCTGCCCCCCCCCTCCCTGCCTCCCCTCCCCGCCCGCCCTGGGCCGGGGGGCAACGCTCACGGAGGACTGGCGAAGGGGGGGGGGGAATTGATTGGCCTGTTTTCCACCACCACCACCACCATAAGTTTGAGGGGGAGGGGGTCCTCCTCCTCCTCCTCCTCCTCCTCCTCCTCCTCCTCCTCCTCGACCTCCTTCCCCTCCAACTCATGGTGGTGGTGGTGGTGGCAAACAAGCCCGTCAGGACTATCGACCTGGGATCGGCAGTGCATCGCCGATGGATCGGCGGTGGGGCCCCCCGATGGCGAGTGCGCGCGAGCCTGCGCAGGACGGGGCTATCAGACACCCGTCGGCGAGTGCTGGGCGATAGGGTTAAGTCGGGCCTGTCCCCTACCGGCCGAAGTTCGAGGAAAAATGAGAAATAGTCCACACATATTCAAACATTGGCCAACAAACATTCGAACAAATACTCCCCCGACGATGTTCCACTATTTTTGAATATTCCCCCCTGTAGAGGGACAGGCCCGACCTAACGATAGGGGGTCGATGCCTCCCCCGCCGTGTCTATCCCCCTCTCCCCCTGACCCCCCTCCTGGGCGCGCCGCCGAACAGATCTACATTGTACCAGTAGCGCGCGGGCATGCTTCGAGCCGAGAGAGATGAGCAACCAACAAAAGGACCCCTGACTCTTTGGGAGGGGACCTGAGTCAGGAGGGCCAAGCACATTCGGGATAGGGCTTCTTTTTCTGCGGATGTACCGGACCAGACCGCGCGGATGTTTTAGCCCCACTGCCAAGACGGGGATCTCAGTGAGGCCACGTCTTCATCGTGGGCCCTGGAAACGACAAGGCCGTTTTTGTTACCAACACCGTTTTGCCGCTTTTGTTGCCGGTTCCGACACCGTTGTGTTGCCGGTTCCGTCGCCGTTGTTGTTATCGTGTTTTTTCGTTGTCGCTTCCGGTCGCCGTTTTCTTGCAACTTCCACTTCCGGAGCACACGAGTTTTGCTCTGGATGAAGAGGGACTGGGCGCCCGGTCCGAGGAGGTGGGGAAAGAGGAGAAGGAGGAGGAGGAGGAGGAGGAGGAGGGGGAGGAGGAGGAGGAGGAGGAGGAGAAGGGAGGAAGGAGGAGAGGAGGAGGGGGAGGAGGCGAGTAGGAGTGGGAGGCAAGATAGGGGAGGAGGAGGAGGAGGATGAGGAGGAGGCGGAGGGAAGGAGGGGAGGAGGAGGAGGGAGAGGAGGGGAGGAGGAGGAGGAGTAGGATGAGGAGGAGAGGAGGAGAGGAGGAGGAGGAGGAGGAGGAGGAGGAGGAGGCAGGAGGAGGAGGAGGAGGCAGGAGGAGGAGGAGGAGGGGGAGGAGAGGCTTAGGGCTTCTCCTGCCCTGCTGCAGAAGCGGCTGGGGCGCCCCGTGCGAGCCCGCCCCCGGGCCCTCGTGCTCGAGCTCGGGCGGCCCCAGGGCGCAGGCCTTCGCGCCGGCGCCCAGCGCCGCGCGGCAAGCGCGGGTCGTGCGCCCTTCGGCCGCTGGTCTCCGACAGGGCTGGACCTACTACTCTTATGTCGGGCGTGTCCCCCTACAGGAGGATTTTCGACGACAAATAACAAATACCCCACAAAATGCACCAAAAAGGTCCAAAACTACTCAAAAAATAATACCAGGACTATTTTTGCTGTAAGAAAATAATACTAAGTAGGCATGTTTTATTCTTCGTCGAAAATCCCGCTGTAAGGGGACAGGCCCGACTTAACACTACTCCAAAACCCTTATTCATCGGACCCCTCTAAAAATCTGGACCCCCCTCTAAATGCGACCTGATATTCCGGGCTCCCCGCTTCGACGGGGCGCCTTGACAAACCGGACCCCCTGAGCTCCAACGCACAGAAAACGCCAAAATAATCCGGACCCCCACAATTACAAAAAAACGCTCGAAAAACCCGGACCCGGGGGACGATTTAGAAGGGATGTGTAATAAACCGTATTTTTCGTATTCAATGCTGTTTTTGTCTTCCCTTTCTTGTCTTCCGTCCGCCTTTACCGCAAGACGACGTCGAACGAAAGCGGCCCACGAAATCGCCAAAACACCGCTCAGGTCCATCCCTGGTCTCAGACACCGCGGGGGTCGTTCCACCTTCAACCATCGGCCGCGTCCGTGAGGTCGGGCATGTCCCCCTACAGGGGGATTCTGGGCGACAGACAAGGAAAAAGCAGCCGAGAAAGGCGCCAGGATTGTCCAACATGGTAGAAAGCATCGTTCCCAGACTTACAAAAAAAACAATGTTCGAATCTTCCTCCTGTAGAGGGACACGCCCGACTTAAGCGCTTCCGAGACGTCGGACCGCTCAACTCGGCTATACGCAAGAGTGACCCTGGGTAAGAGTCAGAGTGAACTCTGGTGAAACGACTTTTGGGGGGCCGCGGGGGGACCAAAAAACCCGGGCGAGCGAGCAGCTGCGACTGCTTCGTTTTCAGCCATCTGGGGACCCATCTGCGCCCGCACCAAAGGTCACTCCGGCAAACGAGGAAGAAGCAGCCGAGAAATGCGCAAGGATTGCCACACATGGTAGAACACATCGCTCCCAGACAAAAAAAACAATGTTCGAATCTTCCTCCTGTAGAGGGACACGCCCGACTTAACTAGGGACCCAGATGCGAACCCTACCCCTACCCCCCACGATTTCTGAGGGGGAGCGTGGGGGGTAGGGGTAGGGTTCGCATCTGGGTCCCTAGTAACGCTTCCGAGACGTCAGACCGCTCAGCGTCGACCGTTGCTGCGTCGCCGGCGGCGCTCCACGCTGAAGGGCCGGCGGCGGGGCCGCCACCCGTGGACACACCGCGCGAACCTGCCGCACCCGAGGCAACAGCCACCGACTCACGGTCCTCAGAAAGACTGAAGGGGCCCTGGGACACACAAAGAAATGCACACAAATAACAGGGTTCCCAACATTTTCCCATATTTTCTGGGTGTTCGTCTTCCCCCCCACTTCCCCCCCTTCTGAAGGGGCCCCAGGACACACGAATAAATATACACAAATACAAGGATTCCCCATATTTTCCAATATTTTCGGGGTGTTCGTCTTCCCCCCCACTTCCCATACTTTCCCATCTTTTTCTGGGGATCGACGATTCATTGTGTCTGTGTGTTTTTTCCTTCCTGAAAGACGAAAGCCAGGACGAGGATCAAGTCGGTGAGGACAAGCTGAGAATCTCTGATCGCCGGCGGCCCTGGAGGAAGTCACGGGGGCGGCGCGGCGTCCTCGACACGTTCTGGAACGCCCCGAGAGCGGTCCGCGGCGCTCTCGAGCGGATCGATCCTCGTCCTTGCCCCGCCCGACTGAGGCCCGAAAGAGCGAGGTCCTGCGCTGCAGGCAGGCACTACACATCCGCCGCCGTGTGTGCGAGGCCTGAGTAGGAGTGTCCTCGGGTCTCTTGCTCAATCCCCTGAGCCTCAGTCGTCAATCCTGAGTATCCTCATAGGGGGGCGGGACCCCATTTCGAAAACCTCCCAAGGGCTCCCTGCGCGCCTGGGGGGCCCTCCCGAAAGACCTCCTGGGGCCCGCAGGTACCCAAAGACGTGCTAAGAGGGCCCAAAGAGGCCTCTGACCTACAATCCTTGTGCGTTGGCGGGACGGGCAGAATGCCAATATGCCCATATACATACCCACTGTAGCTATATGTATGTCTGTATACACGCGTACATGAATGCAAAAGTGTAAAGATAAATCTATGTAGAAACGTCTGGATGTCTGTATTGATATATTGCTAACGTATAAAGAAGTGTACGTTATTGATGTCTCTCTCGAGCTCTCATTCTGTTCCTGCCGTATAAACAACCATTCATCTGCCAGCGTTAGTCCTTGAGGTGGTCCTTGCAGGGTTCCTGTAAGGATTCTGAGGGCCCCCCCCGTTATCGCACTTCTGGCCGCGAACACGGCCGCTATTCCCGAGAACGCCATATCTGATAGTCAACACCGTGAGGGCATTGGATAACGAGCCATTGGATAAGGAAGCCAGGGTCTGGGAGCCGATGGAACGCCAGTTGAGGATTGGCCATGGATACCACCGCCGACTTCATCAGATAAGGAACCCTCCAGAGTCTAAAGCCTCCTGGGCACACTCCCTGACGAACGCCTCCCACCGTATGGGCCTGCGCAACCGACGTCACGATCTCTCGTTCGAAATACAAATTGATCCGAGCCCCCGGGCTTCCAAGATGGCGCAGGCAGGCAACCGAGGCCGCCAAGATGGCCAAATATGCCTACACGATAGCCCAAGATGGCCCCAACGTGGGCCAAGATGGCCTCAAGACGGCCCAAGATGCCTTCAGGAGGGCCCAAAGGGAGCCACGGGCGGATCCCCAACGGGGCCCGAAGAAGCCCAGAGCACACATTCCCCGTGAGGTGTCTCACAGTTCTCTCACATTCGCGCCCCGGTGGCCCACGACGGCCAAACTGAGCTCCATTGGGCGAGCAACGACATATGTACATTTACGCCATCCGCGGTCTTGCCTGCACGAACGTCCGCGCGGACACGCACTCCAGGGGAAGCTGACCGCGTACGTGTACACATGCTGCTGCTGGCCCATGATTGCTCCTCACAGAACGACTCACGCGTGGCTGCCTTCCTCTTCCTCCTCCGCGGTCTTGCCTGCACGAACGTCCGCGCTGGCACGCACTCCAGGGGAAGCGAACCGCGCACGTGTACACATGCTGCTGGCCTCTGATCCATGATTGCTCCTCACAGGACGACTCCGACGTATTCCTGCACCTCCCCGACGTATTCTGCCTTCCTCTTCCTCCACCTCCCCGACGTATTCTGCCTTCCTCTTCCTTCCTCTTCGTCCTCCCCGACGTATTATGCCTTCCTTCTTCCTTCCGACGGATTCTTGCGTGGCTGCCCTCCTCCTGCCTCCTCTGACGTACTCCTCCTCCTCCCTCTCCGTCCTCCTCCTCGGCCCTCATCGCACGCCGCCTCTGCCCGACGGGGCCGAGGTCGGGTCGGGGCGCGGAGTGCCATGCGCACTCTCCCCAGCCGTCCCTCCTCCTCCTCTTCCTCCTCCTGCCTCCTCCTCCTCCTCCTCCTCCTGCCTCCTCCTCCTCCTCCTCCTGCCTCCTCCTCCTCCTCCTCCTCCTCCTCCTCCTCCTCCTCCTCCTCTCCGTAGCCATTTTGGCTCAAGTCCGTAGCGTGGCTCAGTGGCCACCAGCGGGCGAGAGTTGAGGCAGAGGGGACCAGCGGCCCCTACCGACATACCACCCAAGGTTTCGCTACGGCATTGGGGTGTTATCCCCCGCTGTACGAAGACACGACTACTTCGTTTTCGCTCTCTGTTACTTCAGGCACATGGGAAAAGGCGCTTTCTCTTGGTGCACGGCCTGCGGCAATTGGGCCTACAATTTCAGAATCAGGAGGAATGGCGGCAAGTGCGGGAAGTGCCAGGCCCACATCTCTCTTCCCGCGCCGTGGTGGGAGCAGCCAGGCCAGCAGCAGGGCCAGCAGCACCACCACCAGCCATCCTCTCCTTCGACGGCTACGCCAGACCCGTCGGCGATGCTGGCCTTGCTCGCCAGCTTGCCGATGTTCGCGGGTGAGGCCAAGACGCTCCTCGCCGCCAAGGAGCGTTGCGACGCGGCAGCCGTGCCGACGCCGCCCACGGCCCACA